TTTACTTTGTATTACCACTCAGATTTTTAGTAGGACCACCCTGGGTCTTAACCAAGTTGACAAAATTTCTGTAATAATTGTAAAAAAGTTGGCTATTTATTTATTTAGAGGAGCATCACTTTTTGCTTTACAAGACACTGAAATAATTTAAGAAGTCATGATGTTTTTAGGTATTTTATAAAGCAAAAACTCTTTATGATTTGCTAGTGACAATTTCTCCCCCAAATATCCACATATGCATTCTTTGGGCAGGCCTTCTGGTAGTAGAGCTCCTCATCCTCAGCCTACTCTAAAAGCCACAGGTGTGATAAATTCTTCAGCGCTGCAGCATTTCCATTCATTAGTATTTCGTTGACAGTGTAAGAACATCTAGCCTTCAGTAGTCCATCCACTTTACAAACTGATTTTAATAGAACTGCCAGGTTAAATTTTGTCTGATTGATAAATAACTGACGTTCAAATAGGAAAGGATCAAAGTGCATCGATTTGATTAATTCTATTTGTTTCATTATATACATACTTAAAAAAAAAAAAAAACAACAACAAAACCAACTGACACTTTTTAGAGCTAGCAACAAGAATGTAGTCTCATGCCTACATGTCTCACGTCATGTTTTTTTCCAGAAAGGCGATCAAAGCTGCCGTCTTCTTCTTCAAGAAGCTATGTCCCTTTCTACAAGCAAAGAGGTATCAGAGGTGAAGTTAAGTCTCTTCGGGACTAAACTGATTATTTGCCTTCCTCTTACAAATCATTGTCCTCCAGAAGAAAGACAGCTATCATAGTGACAATGCTGAAGAAATTTACTTTTAATAGGTTTATTATTTTACTGAGAATTTCGTCAGATGTTTCAGCAAAGCTTCAGATCAAATATATGATTATTTTTTAGCCTTTGAGGTTGCTGAAAGTGTGCTCGCTCTCACTGGAGCTTTGATTTGATTTCTCTAGCAACTACCTTCTGCAAAGCAGCACTGTCTGCTACAGCGGAGATGGTTCTCTCTCCAAACTGTCTCCTCTCCAAAGAGACCTGCAGTCCCAGCCTTTATGGACAGAAATCTTCCAATGAAACACTTAAATATTTATAAATAAAACTTACCCCAAAAGCAGTAATAGATTTCATAAAAAGGGGAATTTAGTATTACGGGGTGTGCTTTCGCATTTCGGGAAAAATCTTTTAGAAAAGCAGCAACAGTATGTAAAGGGAAAGAACACTTATGATTCATTATGTTCACAGCCTTGCACATTCTGGGTCTCATACAGACTGTATTTTTAGTTACACTGTTATTAACACTGGAAAGTCCTTTTGGTTGAAATCCACATGCCTATTGTGACAGTTCTGCAGTTGCTACACGGAAATGTCAATGGGACAGACACAAAAAATACACGTTGTTTTGTAAAAGCCCCTGTTGCTTTGCAGGGAATGGAAGTGACAGGAGCTTCCCTAGGAGGGCCAACAAGTCTGCCTCCTTGCTTATCATTAAGTATCTCCTGGAGACAGCAGGGAGTCTGAAAAACAGCATTTCTTATTAAGAAGTTTAGCTTTTTCCATTGTATACCTATTTGAGAATTCAAAATTTATCAGCAATGCAGTTTTTATACCACAGATGAGCACATCAATTTTCTGTCCACCTTACTTCATGCATTCTAATATTCACATATTGACTTAACCACCTTTTCCATTTCACTATTTTCCATAATATTTTGGCAGAAAAAAAAAATCGATCCCCTGATATCAGAGGGAATATTTTAAAGATTAAATTTAGTGAGTCCTGCTAAACCAGTGTATTTTCTGTTTAAAGGGCAACATCACATATCACACCCCTCCAGGTAAAACAGAATCAGATGCAACAACTTCAACACTGCGAGAAATGCAAACTTGAGAATGTGCAAAACAAGACTCTGAAGATTTGATCTGGTACACACCTGAGACATTCCACCGGTTCAAAAGGTCCATGAACAACATAGCATTAAATCTTTATTATTCTAGCAGGTTCTTACAGACTGATAATTTTCCTCATTACTATCCCCTTGACTTCAGATATAACACAGCAATATGAACCTATCAACATTTCCACTAACAACAGAGCTTGCTATTTAGGCACACAGAATGGGGTAGCAGACCAGTGTAATTGATTTTTTAAATTGATATATTGTGCTACTGCATATGGCTGCTGAGTTTTGACAACAATGAAACCGAAGTGCTGCAGGGCTTTAACTCATAATATTCACACTCATTTAACTCATAATTTCTTCACATATTTATTTAGCTATTAATCCACCTAAGTTTCTTCATTTATCCCAGTGACAGCAGAACTCCACAACAGGAGGTAAGCTCAAAACCAGATTATTATAAAAGAATCCAATCACCAATTATTTCACTCTAAGAGTATACAAGCTTTGTACTTTGATGCACCCACAATCCACTGAGGTAGGAAAGTAATGTAAGCACTTAAAAAGCTGATGAGCTATTCAAAATTCCTGTAAGCTGCAATTTTGTTTCATTTTTTGTCATACAATTATATTCCTCAGGAGATACAGAAAGGACCTGTATATTAATAAACTTACTACCATCTTCCCAGAGAAACTGCTGCCCTCTCCAAGAAAAACAGAGGGACCCTGCAAATCTGTCCCTAACTCTCCTGCACTTAATAAATGCTCAGAGTTTGTATAAAAAAGAATTCCTACAAGTGACACAGGTAGTAGCCACAGTCAGCTTTTGTATGGCCATGCACAGGCACAGACACATCTGGGGACCTGGGTCGCTCTGTCACACCATATTCATACATGTTCCTTCCTCCCTCCTTACTTCAAGAGCAGAAGCGTGCATCATTGCTCCCCCCACTCCCAAATGACTGAGTTTTGCTTCTGCTCTGAGGGAGAAAGAAAAAACAAAAGAACAAAATCCTACTCAGATTTGTCTGTCTGCATGACAGGGGAGCTAGCAAAACTATGGCACACGATTTCAAAGAGGTTCATAGGCCAGTACAGAAGAAGGAGCTGCTGTTGCCAGGGGACTGCCTGCTGCCAGTGCCACCATTAACACCCCACAAAAAATCAGAGAGGGAGGAGAAGCACGTAAATAGCTGTTACCATGAGTGAAACCTTTGTATTTAGAAATAGATTAAATAATGCTAACATGAACAGCAAGAGCTTTATGACATCCCTGCGTTAAAACACACTGCAGGTTGGGAAGCCCACGCTATTCTACATAAAATATACCAAGAAATACACAACGAAATATACAAAGCTATCCACTACTTTAAAATAGACTTCTCCAATTCTTTCTCTTTTATTCGCTCCTCTGCTTAACAGTAAATACAGCAAACCTGTATAGTCTTCCGTGTCAGTAGACAACAGCTTTAGGGACAACTCCAGACTGTCTCCAGAAGAACCAAATGTAATTCTGCTCTATCCTCATTAGAGACTATCTTTACTAACTGACTTTTGCAGTTCATTCATGCAGATTTCACCTGCAGCAAACCTTACAGTTTTGTACAATTTTTCTCAAAGTAGAATTAACACCTTACTACATATAATAAGTTTAGCAATTAAATACTGATGCCATCACCTCTTATTCTTTTCCTCTAAATTCTCAAACAGGCAAAGTAAGCAGCAAATACTGAAAATATTTTATACTTGCAAAAGTAGGACTCAGTAACCAGATGAAGATACATTTTGAGATTTTTCTGGGAAGGCACACTCTCTACAACTAGCTGATATGGGCTCTGATCACTTGGCTGAGTTAAGAAGAACTGCAGACTGTTACAGAGTCAGACTGTAAAATCAAGGAGAGTGTAGGATGTACAAAAGAGGAAGGAGGCCAACTCTCCTCATCAATGGTAGGTCTTGAAAAGACAAAGCCCACTAAAGTAGTTTATGCCTTTTTCCAGCAATAGAAGCTGAATGAGGGCAGCACAATGGTTATGTTTCAGAAGCTTTCTTTTTATTCAGTAGTAGAGCTGGAGTGAGCTTCTTGGTTTTTTTTTGGTTTTTTTGTTTTTTTTTTTTAATATCCCTAAAGCAAAAAAAAAAAAAAGTAACAAGATGTAGAGATTATTTTTTTTGTTCTTCTTCCTCCTAACATTCAGTACTCAGTTACCTGTATCTGGATGATTCTCTAGCATGGGTTGTGAATGGGAGACAACATGAAACCTAAACCAAATGCACTCCTAAGACAACTGAGTTTGTAAACAGCAAATGTACAAGTGGCACTTCCAGTTTGTTCATATACTGTCAGTATAACATAAAATACTAGAACTCTCTCATGATTCATTCCCTTTGCAGAAATACTTCACATGCTTCTTCCCTGTGACTGTGCTAATTAATGCCTGACAGGTTATAAAAGAAAAATGTAGGGAAGACAAGCAAGCCCATCCTATGTTTTCTCTAGAGCTTTTTGTTACTAAGCAGTTTTCAAAAGCATATGGAAATAAGAATTCACTCAAAATTACCTTAATAACCAAGTCAAACTTCTGGTGCAAATCCCTGTTTATTGGTTTTAGGAGGGTGAGTACAGCTGTTGTGAGATTCATATGGAAATACTCTGGATAATCCTCAGGAGTACCTGTAAAAAAGACAATGAGGTTTGAGCAAATGTTTAACTAAATCTTTCAGAAAAATTAATATATTGATTTTACTCATTAGTCATCAAAGGAACATAAACTAGTCATATTATAAAGATAAAATATTGCATCATGTGAACAAGGAGCTTAACAATACTACTAGTATTATGTGTTTAATATTATCATTATTTCCTTATTCTCCCTAGCCATGAAGATTCTTCTCGACTGGGAATCCCTCAATAACAACAGGAGCCCAAAGACACCAGCAGCTGGTGGAAATGATGTTTCTCAGTTTGCAGGAGATACATACAAATCTAGTCAGGTAAGAGGACATATGCAGAAATGAGCTTTCACTGCAAATCATCTTCCACTTCCATCCACCACATTCCTGAAACTCAACTTGCTAAATAAACATATACCACGGAGATTTTCTCTCTCCATCTTTAAGTACGTTTTCCCTGAAGTATCGCTGGACGTACACTGCCATTAACCACAAAGCAGAGAACACTATGAACCATTTTTTTAGTGCACACACACAATGACATGGTGTGACAAAGATGTTACGACTAAGTTCACGCTAGCTATGTTAATGCTCACTGATTATGTCCTACCATTTGTAACTTAAAATGCACATTTTAAATACCTTGCTTCTTGCACCTAAGGGCAAGGTCTTCAATGCATTAATAACATATACAGAAATAATAAAAGCAGACAACTTATTTTAGAAATCCATCTAAGAAAGTAAGTTTCTCATCAGTTTCTCATTTGTGTCTAACAACTTCCATTTCTTGTCAGCAGTAAATAGCCTCTTCATGGTTGTGAGCTTTCCAGGATACTCTCCAACTCGGTTAAAACAGAAGCAGTCAGAGTCTGAACAGATTTGCGAACCAATGGAAGCCCAGCACAGGCTATGTAAAGGATGGAGACAGCCATGACCTTGCTGTGCCTGGCCCCCTGGTACCATGCTCAAGCCAAAAGGCTCTAGAAGCATAACCTGACACAGAAGGAGGCAAGAATTCAGCTACAGGGATTTTGAGCCACATGATTCTCAAACAAAGTACACAAAAAAGTAGCAATGGTGAAGCATTAATTGTCAGGAAAAGATGAAGCAATAAGCAGATATGACTGTTCAGCACCAGCCTCTCGCCATTAGGGAATAGAGGTGATACCATTTTTTATTCTGAAAGACAAAGGGATGTTCTCTCCTCATTTGCCTGGCAGAAAACAGTACCCGCCTTCTCTAGCCTGTGTCTCATTCCATTAACTGCCTGGCTTTCCCCAAGCTAGCCTGACTTTCAGCTGTGGAGCTGTGAGAGCACAAATCTGAACAGAATAGGGCTCGGAAAGCCAAAGTGTTTAGAAACAGCATGAACTCTGGCATCTCACTGCTTATCAGTATTACCAAAAGTATCTGAAGAAAACAAACTACAGATTACAAGTCTAAGATCCCGAGTCATTTTAGGTCTAGGAGCAGTTCTGCGTAGCAGCCGAGAGGTAGAAAGCACTCCTGGCTGAATGTATAAATGCCTCAGTAAGTCCTGGGAGCTCATGAGTTACGGTATCTTAAAGCAGCCAATCAGCAGGACAAATATTGCTGTGCAATACAGTATAACAGGGCATAAGATTCAACACAAAAAAAGACCACTTTTCTGATAAACGATCTATTAGTTCTTCACCTTTCAAGTGGAATGATTAGAAACTGCTTTTAGAGAGTCAGTAGCTATCCCCGGAGACAGATTACTGTTCAAACTCTCATGCGATACTTTAATTTGCAACTCAGCGTATGACAACCATTTACTATATTGTGTGTATACTATGAATATAGTGTACACTGTAGATATTCTGCAAAACTATAATATACATGAGCATTTTATTTTTTAATGACAAGCAAAACTCTGCAATCTGCTCATTAAAATCTTTACTTTCACCTCTCCAAGGGCAAGAACGTAGGTGCAGTTTAACACAGCAAACATGAAAAAAAGAAGTGATTCCACAAAACACAATCTTCAATTTCCTCTCCAGTCACAGAACACAGAAAATTACAACATGAGCCTCTGTACTTCGGGAGCAGCCGGGCAGGTGGAGGGCTGCAACTGCAAAACACTGCCTCAGGCCTTTCCATTATCAAATCATACAAGCAAAGCAACTGGAAACAAATGCCAAATACACGAAAGTAGCAGGAAAAAACCCCAGACAGCAGAACACAAGACATCCCCCAGAAAAGTGCTATTCTCTGAAGTCCTAGAACTGCATTCCTCTCTGGCCAGAAAACAGCACAGTCAGCTAACCAAACACTAAATTACAAGGGAAAGCTTGCAAGCTCCCAGGCAGCAAAATTTAAGGTGAATGCAGTAAGACCCTTTAAGTTGCTCTGTGCCAGAAGACTTTTGGAAGGAAACCTGCTCTAACTGCCTTTCTTCAGCATCTTTTATTGCACCTTTGCACCTGTGAATGAAAAATGCCTAGCAGCATAGCTCTGAGCATAGGCAAGTCTCTCTCCTTTTGCTTGCTGTGTTGCTCCATTTGCCAAACCAGACAATTCTGAATCTAATCTGAATAAATAATAATAAATAATGCAGCCAGCTGAAATAAGCTTCTAACTTGCAATTAAACATAAATAGGTAGAACAATGATTTCAAACATCCCACTAACCACAATATGAATTTTTATTAGGTTTCCACTCTCCCAGTCAATCTTTTTCTGGCTGTTCATAATAAAGCGACTGACTGTGAGTGATAGCAAGAGTAGCAGACACCAACCAACTAGGATGGAATAGAGGATGCCCGGTCGATCAGAAGGAGGCTGAATGTTGCGGTCTTGATCTATAGCTTGTATGGGTGGAGTGACACTGATGGGATTCACACGTGCCTGAAATGAAAAATCAGACAGATTTGAAACAGAAAAATTAGAAAGCCAGTAGGCAGATCTTTAGGTTTAATACAAAACCATCTCACTGAAAAGGGTATTTGCTGCAACTGTGGGAGAAAAAACCCTCATATTTAAGAGAATACTTACAGCACACATCCCTTTTGAAATCAAAATCAAGTAGGCAACATACATATTTCTACAGCAATCTCCTTTCTTTTAGATACTTATACTATAAGAGCATCTTCAAGAAAAGGAAGTTCACAAATGTTCAAGCAAATGCTTGAGTACGCTTCTATAAATAGACCCTTGAATCAGACTTTTCATACATCACCCTAGCAGTGAAATACAGCAAATGTTTTTAAAAAAGGAAATAAAGGCAAATTGAATTTGAGAATCATTAGGAGCTAGAGTGGCTGTGACACATGAATACATACTGCAAAAGAAACTCAAGAAAGGTACAGACATTTCAAGGATAGGTACATTTGAAAAGTTTGGATGGACATTGCAATAACTCACACCATTACTCAGAAGTGGAGTGACCTTGCATGCTGAACATGGAAACAGAAAGGCAGAAAAAGCATTGTGCAGGCTTTCATCTTGTTCACTATTTGTATGCCTGCTTCTTTACCTACCTACTTAACAGCATTCCTGTACCTACTAACAGCACTTAGCCCTCACTGTTGCTTGGGGTATTTTCTATCCTACACCATAGTCTCCAGTGGTAACACAAGAGTTGCCATTCCCAACTGTAAAAGAACCATTTCAGTAATTTTGGCTGCTTAATCAACTAGAAATGTAGCTACTCCATGAATGTATGTGTGCCATTCTTTTCCCTTCCCTTCTTGGAACTTTTATTTGCGTGGTCAAAATGCTTAATGACCTCTATGAAAAACCAGGCAGTTTTTTTCTCCACACAACTAATCCTGGCAGCCTTTGCTTTGGAAAGCTTTAACGCTCCATGTTCTACAAGAGGCAACTAGAAATTTAGTGTAGCTAAAGGGTTGGCCAAGTTTTGTCACAGCCTTCAGACACCCTCCTGCTGAGAAGCGGAATGAATCTGCAAGAGCTTTAGGCACGCCTGTCAATAAACCTAGAGGGCAAGGAGATGAGCCAGGAGGAGGAGACCAAGACGGCAATGGATGCAAGGCAGTTTGCAAGAGGGGAGAGAGTTACTAACCCATCCCGTAATTTTGGATATGTAGCCCTATGGTTATCTTCAGTAACACAAGCTATTCTGCCCATGGTTTGCCCACCCAGAAGTCATTTCCTCTAGGTTACTGAGGTCCACCAAGGTTTTTCCAGGCTCATGAGCCAGGGCTTGCAGCCACACGTGGTTACACAGCTCTCGGCTCTGGGTGCAGAGCATCTGCCTACCAACACAGGACGGTGCCTCCTCACTCTGCCTCTCTGCTCATGGCTTTTTCCACAGCTCCCAACAAACAGGTGAGGCCCTTTGTCACACACCTGTTTCCACTTTTGACTCTTTAAAAAATTAAACTCTTAAAAGCATAATGAGGAAGACAAGCTCAAAACAGGCATAAAGAAAGACAGAAGAAGATATAGTTGACATATGTTTGAATGTTTAAAATGCTTTAGGACTGCATAGAAGTTACATGCTGAGAGATAAGATTATGCATAAAGCTGTCCAAGACTAAAATGCTATTTTTAAATTTACAGATTAATTGAAGCACTCTCAGACAAATCTACATTATAGTTAAAAACACCCACAACAAAAACATAAGGCTAGTTAGATTTTAAACTCACCATTACAACATTGCCAGCCAAGCCAAAACATCCAGCCCTATGCTAGAGTAACAACAATAGATCTAGCCTCATCAGTAATGATCTGTCAGCTGTACCCAACCACCGAAACTAGACTAAAGGAGAAGCTTGAGAGTAGCATTTAGAAAAACTGCATTTGAAGTTACATCGCATGTCCCTTTTGAAATCAAAATCAAGTAGGCAACATGTATATTTCTACAGCAATCTCTTTTAGATACATCTTGTACTATTAGTATCTTCAAGGAAAGGAAGCTCGCAAATATTCAAGCAAGAACTTGACCAAGAGATATTTTATCCTATGCTGCCATCATTACATTGACTCCCAAGAACCAAAGCAATCAATTGAACAGAAGCAAGTTGTAAAAGAAAACAAAGTAGTATAAGAAAACTAAGAATGAAACATGAAATCCATTATTTTTTTATTCCATGTAAGTTGTTTTTCTGACTACTGTACATACTCTGATATGGGCTGCTCATAAACTAGAAGAGATCGTGCAACAAGATCAGTTGCAATTGCTGAAATGTTTAGGGATATCAAATATTTAAATAGGCTGATGGGCCTTGAAGCAAAGCTAAAGGTACTTTCCTATTGTTTTAATATGCCATAGGTAACACAAGTATCTTTTTAATTTTATGTAAATTAGAAATATGAAAACATAATTGCACAAAGCAGCAGCCATTAGGTATGTTAATGAATTTGAAAAAGCACATGTAGGATCATTTCAGAAGGTGCACACAAACTTTTTTGTGGAAAATAATTATTTTACAAATTTGTAGTCAAAACATGCATAAGGATATTTCTTTCTTTCCCAAGCACTTTAAAATGCAAAAGGCACCAAGAGGTGCTCCCAAGATCCCCAGGTCCCGCTGACGCAGTGCTGCTCGGCAGCAAAGCCGTCAGGGCTCAGGGGGCCTGAGGCAGCTCCCCAGAACCCACATTGCTGGGATGGGGCCCCAGTCCTGCCCCCAAAACTGCTCTGCTCATAACTAACCATGATCAACAGCTGCAGTTCTTGCTAGAGACTGGCAGACCACAACGACACAATACCTTCAAAAACCAGCCACTTCCAAGCACAGAACACAAAAGGCTTTACAAGCTCTGTCAGAAGCAGGTGATTAAAAAAGAAACAAACAAGCAGATCTCGTCAGTTCTAGGGTTAAATACGCAGTAATTTATATACTTTTCCCCACTAGGGAAGAGATCTCTCATTTATTGGTTTTGGTATTAATACACTCCAGGTCCTTCAATACAGCAGACTACACCATCATGCAGGGCAAAAAAAACCCAACCTAAACCCCAACTTGCAAACGTTATCACAAGTATTAAAAAATTTTTAAAAATAAATCCTTCTTCAAACAGAACTGTGACAGGAAGCCTGCCAAGGAGTCTGCAAGGCCAAGAGATGATCAAGAAAAAGAAAAAAATATTTTAAAAACCTCAGACAGAATAAGGCAGTAGCATAAAACCTAATTCTTTTTTTCCTTCTTTTTAGTTCACCATGAAGGGACTCAGATGGGTCCCCGTGACAACAACTTCTCCATGCTGGATGTCTAGCAGGTCCCACAAAAAATCATCACATTCAGAGAAGTTATGGATGAAAGAAGCCAAACAAAGAGTAACATGAGGCCAAGAGCAGATGAGTTTCCAAAGGAAAGGAAGGCAAGAGTCAATCATATGAACTTGCTGTGCTATGTAATTTCCTGCTTAAAAGTGCTTTGGTACCTGAGGAACAGCAGGTGGCAAACACAATACCACAATTAAAAGGGTCCCAGGGCAACCCAGGGGAATACCACCATGACGCCTGAGGCTTGGACCAGGAAAAATTAGCAGATAACATAATAACAGTCTGAGCAAACACAGAAATAAATACAATAAACCAGGGAAATTTGGTTTTTTTGCAAAGGGAAATCCAGCTCCTCAAAATTACTGTGGTTCCCTGCAGGAATCACCGAACAGCATGTAACTACCACACAACCATCTGATACAGTGCAGGTAGGCTGGCAGCCAGCTTTGACAAGCTCCCTTACAAAATACTCTTTAAGGAAATTTGGCCTTAACAGAAAACGAGCGAAGAAGCAGTTAGGTTGAGAGGTATGAGGCAGAGCAGGGGCAAACTTTCAGTTCCCGTAGGGAGAGAGGGGAGATCCACAGTGATCTGTGCTAGTGCCGGAGCTGCTCGGCTCACTCCTATGCAACCTCAGAAAAACGGGGGAGAACACAGTGAGAAGAATTACAGCTTATAGTCAATTATTCAGAGTAGAGAGGGTGAGGGTCACCTGCAAGAGACTGCAGTTTTAAGCATTCCATTCCTTGTACATATTCAGTCTTTTTTATGAAAAAACACCACTCAGTGGCCTTGCACAGAGAAATCTTCTCAGCTCTGTTTGGGAGGGCAACGGGTCAAAATGTTCCTCCTTTTCAGTGGAATCAAACAAGGCTTGACTGCTTAGGGGCTGTGAGGACAGAGCACTGGGAACCTCTCCCTCAGCTCTTTTCAATACAAAGATCTCTCATAATTCATTATGAAACGATCACAGAAAACCAAAATGTTTCTACACAAATACCCCAGTCACTAAACAACACACACTTCAAAAAGCAGCAGCATTGAGTTTCTCTCGTGGGAAAGACTACTGGAAGTTATCTGAAGTTACTGTTATTAAATCAAAAGGGCTAGAAAAGAAAAAAACCACAACAGCAAATATTTATTCAAATACTTTGTCTTAATGCATTTAGTGTAGATGGAAAATGCTGATATTAATTTGCTACACTCTTTTTATGTCTTGCTCTTTGACCTGTGTGGTTAGACAAAATTTGGCTGCAAAATGCTTCTGTTTAGAAGAGAACCCGATAATGGAGCCAGGTCTGTTTTAAACAATCTTGTTTATTCAGTAGAAAGGCAAAAGCCACGTTTTCCTGGAGAGGAGAGAAATGGAGTTTCCAGACATCAGTACTCCTGCTGATACCTTTGAACGTACTTCAACCACAAAAAACTCCTTTTGCCTTTATTCAGGAACTGACTACCACCACCACATCTGAGCCTGTCTCTGATGTCTCCCTTCTCCACCTGCTTTTCTGTTTCAGCACACACGCCTTCACAACGCAGTGAAACGCTTTCAGTTCGTATCTCTACTGCAAATGGTGACACCTGACTAGGACACAGATGCTTACTATGTAGGATAACGTGAAAATAAATATGATAATAATGACTGGCAGAAATTTCCCTATTCTTTCTTAGTTGAAAAATACATTAAAAACTCTAAAGCAAAAGATCTTTAAGCCACAAAAGACTAGTCCCAAAACTTGCAAAGGGAGCCATGAACCTCTGCAACACTCACGCAAGAGTGTTTTAAGCTCTTACTAAGGATAGTGAGGAAAAGGAACAACTGATTTTTAAAATTTATTTATTAACATGGAGCTTAATGAATTTACCATTGCAGTTGCAGTCAATAATTCAAAGAAAACAGTATCTCCATCTTTATCTCCAGATGTGAAAATCTCCAGGTTTTTATATTGCTGCATAAAAATACCTATTTTTTCCACCATCACATGGTGACTGAAATACAGCATGGAAAAATTAAAATGAAATTTACAACTGAGATGCAGAATATGCATTTTGTGCTTTCATGCACAATAAGCCAAAAGTAACTATTTTTAGAGTTACCTATTTTACAGATTCTGCATGTGTGTTATTGTATTTAAAACATTTTAAGATGTCCATGACTTCCAAACTTTCTCAGAAATATATGTAAGCTGTCATAAGTATTAAATGTCATAACTCAATTATTTGATTAAGAACTGAAACTAAGGGGTTTTGTCTTCTTAGACTGACACGTTTGATAGATTGTTCACATGACTGCCATCTGCCTCCTCCACCTTCCTGAGTTATAACTCCCTTTGCCATAGTCCTCCCCCAAGATTTTTCTCACACACTTTTTGAGGGTAAAACACTACTTCACAGCACCGCACAAAGCCTTTGGAAGATACCAGCTTGGACCTTACACCTCTGGGAAAACACTGCTACTCATTTAAAACCAGCATGTTACCAAAAAAACCCACAGAGGTTCCTTTTTGCTAAATAATGATTCATAAGCAAGATAAAGAGAAGCAAGAGAGAACAACTTCAGGGAATTCATTTACCTGAACTAAGTACCTTCCTTTCTTTATATGTTCACACCTGGAGCTCACCTGCCTGATTTTTTAAAGCCATGCAGGTCAGAAAGACACTACTTGAAGAACTTGATTTACTTAATGAAACAAAAATTGGTTCAATTTCCTAGGAGTGAGAGCTCAACTTAATGCTGTGTATCTACAGTTTTACCCAGATACCTCCCCAGAATACAGCAACTTCATGCTTTATTGAACAGTAGCTTTTAAGTGACTTAAAACCTCCCAGGTCAGTAACACAGTTTTCCTTGTATCTGACACTGTTCTCTCAATATTGTCTGTTACTAAATAATTACACGTTAGAGTCATGAAGTGCCAGAATCTAAGTGCAAGACTGAACAACAAGTTAAGATTTCAAATTAGATACCCATGCTACACACAGTGCTATGCTGAGTTCAGGTTGCCACAGGCTCGTTCAAGGAACTGATTCTATCACAGAATCACAGAATCACAGA